GGAACAAGAGAGCCTGATGACCCCAAGCTGAGAACCTCTCTCTAATAGCAAGTCTGTTAATGAATGGGACATTGTTAGTGATATGGCTCTGTGGAGATGATGTATCTGTGCAAGAACCACATACAAAAATCAGGGAAGAGATTGGAGAACAGGAAGAGAACTGGGAAAACACTTTCTATCCCCTGCTGAGTCCTTCACTAGAGTTGCCCATTCATACCTGTTCCACCTACAGCAGTGCTCCTAGGGAGCTTGAAATCTAAGGTGGTGTTAATAAGTAAGGTGAGGAAGACAAAGGAGAAGCTTGCTGCCTCTAGGGAGGCAGAACAAAAAGTGGTGGTGGTGGAGGGAAGCACTCGGGCTGTGCTGCCCAGAGTACGACAAACAGCTCATAATACCAGCCTAAGCAGAGAAAGCCATGGACTCTACCTGGTGTAAGAGAACAAGCCATGTTCTGCCATGACAGTTCACACACACAGAAAATAGGAGCTGGCTGTATTAAACTCCCTTTCTGCTTCAAAACCAGAAACGGCACTGGAGAAAAAGGCTAAGCAGGAATTCCTTGCATTCCATTCTGCCACTACCATGAAGAGGAGCAGCTCAGAAATCTGCATGCTCCATTGCAGAGCTTTATTTTACTTAGTCCTTCCCCACTGAGCTAGGTAGAGCCATTCATGACTACTCCCTGTGGCAATGCCAACTCTCCATGCAATGCTACTGGTTCAGGCTGGCAAGGACGCACTGGATTTTCCACATCAGTGCAAGAAACAGAGACCTGATTTGCATTAACATCTGCCACTCTCCTAGTGCTTGGGTTTGTCACAGTCTTATTCAGAAAGAAGAGCGTATTTCTGCATCAGTCCCATACTGAACAGAGGCTGCTTTGCAGCCCTGTCAGGTATTAGAAAGTGTTGGGCTGGGCACAGATATTTGGTAAAATTATCACCAGTGAAAGAATGAAAAGTTACAGTCAAATACATTGGGATGAGCCTTTTCTGCATACTTCCAAGAAGAGAACATGAAAGAGGTTTGGGGTTTAGTTTTTGAATCTTTTCTGCTGTTGTTTCTCTGCCTAAGGGATTCAAATGCTGCTGTTTCTGTGATTCTAAGACTTAGCTTTTCTCTCCATTTCCAAATGAAACAGGCATTTAAGCAGCCGAAAATTCGTGAGAGTTTAAACTTTGGAAAAAGCTGGGTTGTTTCGTGATTACATTGTAACTACCACAAGGTATACCCTAAAATGTGGCTCTCATGCATGGTAAAAATACATTTTGATGTATTTGATGTATAAAACCACATTTTGATGACAGAGTGACTACATCAGTGGACACGGGAAGGGCTACAGATGTCATCTATCTGGACCTCTGTAAGGCCTTTGACACGGTTCTCCACAACATCCTTCTCTCTAAACTGGAGAGGAATGGATTTGATGGGTGGACTGTCCGGTGGGTGAGGAATTGGTTAGATGGTCGCATCCAGGGGGTAAGTGGTCAACGGCTCAATGTCCAGATGGAGGTTGGTGACGAGTGGCGTCCCGCAGGGGTCCGTACTGGGACCCGTACTGTTTAGTATCTTCATCAGTGACATAGACAGTGGGATCGAGTGCACCCTCAGCAAGTTTGCAGATGACACCAAGCTGAGTGGTGCGGTCGACACACCAGAGGGACAGGATGCCATCCAGAGGGACCCGGACAAGCTCGAGAAGTGGGCCCATGTGAACCTCATGAGGTTTAACAAGGCCAAGTGCAAGGTCCTGCACCTGGGCTGGGGCAAGCCCCGGTATCAATACAGGCTGGGGGATGAAGGGATTGAGAGCAGCCCTGCCGAGAAGGAC